CCAAGCGCGTCATCTTCCTTAAATATTACATCCAGCCACAGCCATCAAATATAATGAGAAGAGCAAGTATCGAGCGCATCTTTTTTTTATTTTCATCGATCCCGACTGCATCCTTTATCACCAACCAATTAGCATTAGTTGATTAACCAAGCCCATTACTCACCTAATCGTTACAGTCCAACCAAGAATCCATAGTTACTGTTAAATCTATAGGCGGCTTCAGTGAACAGACATGGGTAAGTAATTAGGCTTCTGTAGGGCACGACAGTCTTGTTTATTTACAACCAACAGCTATTTTTCTCTTCACCAGCCTCAAGTGCTACAAACTTATGATAGTTAAGCAGATCTCGCAGGACATCCGCAGCTTCCAGGTAACCAAAACTAACTGATTATATGTTGTTTTTGTCTACTGAATAAGGCTGTTTACTTACAAAGTCCTTGAGTTTGTTTAAAGAAGTTTAAAATGAGTGCACACATACAATTACACTTTATAAAGAAGACCGACAGACCAACTTGATGAATGATGCTAGCTTGTGTTCATTTTCAATTCAGTCAGTGTCACTTCTGTCAAATATCTAGCTATATTAAGTATGCAGTTAGTTCCCTAATAAGAGCATTATGATGGCCTGTCTCCACTGAGTGGTACAGTATGATACGGTACGGGTCACCTTTATCAGGCTTGCGTTTCCACTGCCAAAATAGTACCCTTTTGCTAGGCGTGGTGTACGACAGAAAGTTTCAGTCAACTACATTCTCTCTTGAGAAAATGTCTACAGTTAAGCTGTACGGGTTGTTCACATATCATACAAGAAGCACCTTTCACAAATCAGATGCTTTATACACATAAATATTTGTGTATAAATGTTCATTACTTCTATGAACAGCATTTGATTATACCTGCAGATTAATAATGTGAAATAGCCTACTGTAACATCTGCAAATACATAAATTAAATAAATAAATGTAATGTAATGTAATGTGTATTTATATAGCGCATTTATTGTGTATGGACATACACCCAAAGCGCTTTACAATTATAAGGGGGGGTCTCTTCACACCACCACCAGTGTGCAGCATCCACTTGGATGATGCGACGGCAGCCACAGGACAACGGCGCCAGTGCGCTCACCACACACCAGCTATTGGTGGAGCGGAGAGACAGTGATCGAGCCAATTCGGTGGATGGGGATGATTGGGAGGCCATGATCGTAAGGGCCGATAGAGGGACTTTGGCCAGGACACTGGGGTTACACCCCTGCTCTTTCACGAGAAGTGCCATGGGATTTTTAATGACCACAGAGAGTCAGGACCTCGGTTTAACGTCTCATCTGAAAGACGGCGCCCACTGACAGTGTAGTGTCCCCTTCACTTTTACTGGGGCATTAAGACTCACATAGACCACCGGTTGAGCGCCCCCTGCTGGCCTCACTAACACCACTTCCAACAGCAACCTAGTGTTTCCTAGTGGTCTCCCATCCAGGGACTGACCAGGCTCAGCCCTGCTTAGCTTCGGTGAGTAACCGGTCTTGGGCTGCAGGGTGACATGGCTGTCAAATGCAAAATATGAACACATACAGACCCTTATAGTCTTCAATATGTTACCAATTACAGAAAAACTACACACAGCATACATTAAGTTCCTATTTGGGTACAAAAGCAACACGCAACATATAGCCTATACAGTGAGAGCAAACCTCTCATCCGCATCTTTAATCTTCAGCAGCACTTGTAGCCTCTGTTAGAGAGTAATTCAGTCATTCCGAGTTCATAATAGTCCAAAAGGTGAAGATATTAGTTAAACATGGTAGAGTGTTTATGTCTGCTGCAATAATCATTTGCTTCTTTGATTTTTCCGGCTTCTCCTTTGTTTTTCCACGCGTCAGTCTCGGGTTTGTTTGTTTCTGAAAGGACTTCAATAATCACACACACACACTAAAAAAATGATTCAAAGATGATTCATTGGATTTTAGGGTTGGCCGATGTCAACCAATATGGCATTGTCTGACGTCTAATGTGAATTATCGCGATGGACAACGGCATTGTCGTCATAGGCTGAGGTGGATTAATTATTTATGAATAACGAATTAATTAATAACGGATTAATTATTTGTAGCCTACCGTTTCAACTACCTGACCCGCATGTTCTTTGTTTTGCCCATAAACAAATCATAAATAAATAAAGATAAGTTGAACACAAGTTACCACCTGTCAATCACTTTTTCCACGGGAGGTTGGTCGGTAAAAAAGGTGCACAACCAACAGTGTCTGAGGTTTTCACTAAAATTGCTAAGTACAAGTGTGAAAGTGAAAGACTGAAGCAGTGTAGTGAGGCTGTGACACGTTCCCTGATAGATTCAAAAGAGCGAAGTGTCAAGAAATAGAGACAAGATTGATCAAATATCACGTTTAACAACTATAGTGAAACGCTATCCAGCGGTACATCCTTAATAAACTGTCTGACATGCACTGCTCTCTCGAGCTCAGACGAGAGCATGACAGTGTGTTTGGCTGTGTGTGTGTGTGTGTTCACATGATGTGCGTTTTCAGTGGATGGAGGGCTGTTCAGAAATGCTAGGTAAAACACAGTGTGGATTTTTGTCCGAAAATGCCATTTTATTACTAAGATGTATTAGTGTAAACGAGGCCTAAGTGTGTATTTTTCACAAGCGTCTATTGTCTATTGGCTATTGGCGATGGACGATGGCATCGTCTATCAGCCCAACCCTCTTGGATTTACTAAAATATTTTAGGATAAGTGGTTGTAAACAATTTAATTAGGCTGAATTTAAACAAACAAATTAAGTTGAATTTTATTAATTTTAATTTGTTTGTTTAAATTGAGCACAAATAAATTGTTTGCAACAGTTTTGCAGACATCTTTTTTTTTTCAGTGCACGTTGTTATATGGAACAAAATCAATGATCAATAATTCATATTCAATTTCCAGATTTCACTTTTTTATACAATGTATAATATTCAAAAGGCAATTTTCAGTTCATTTTAATTCAGTTCAAATATTCGCTTCCATAAATTCAGTGGTTCAAATTTGACTGTTAAAATTCGAGATTACATCCGGGAACTGCAGAAAAAGCAATAGATTGCAGATTGAAGATCACCAGCTGCTTTTTCACCAGCAGGTGGAGATGGAATAATTAAAGATTTTTAACCCAGTAAATAGGCGAGAAAAAAGCTATCAAAGGCAGAAAAGTAGCATTTAATATTTATATCAACGTATTGGACATTATAAGTAATAAAAGGAGTATGAGTAAAATGAGTGAATGATGTTTTGGTCATCTATATTTGCCTGCTTGTGAACGCGTAAACTTCACTCCTCGGACCCAGCGACAGACGTTGTTCTGCAATCTTTAGCCTCCTCATAGCATTTGTCTCCAATGCCGGTGTCGTCGGTTCGCGCCCTGCTCGAATCGGTAGGGTTACATGCACACAAACCTTCTTTTGACGAATATGATGTTACACATTCTCTATCTTCATTAACTCATCCTTCCATAGACGTAAAGTATTATACATGCTAAAAAATATAAACATAGGAGAAACAAGAGAGGAAAGATTATAATAATACAAAACAGATAAACATAATTGCCAGAACAATTAAGAACAAAGATATTAGTATCAAAACCAGAGAGATTTTATGAGAATGCCACAAAAAACAGTTTACTTGGAACTGTTAGACAGAGTGTTCAGGTATGATTAAGGTTGGATGTGAATGGGACGTGTAATTTAAAATAACTGAACATAAGACGTGAATGCATTAAAGGAGCGTCTTCAGTTATTCATACAGAAGCGTCTAATATGGCATAACCATTATAAGTGGTTATTAGACTATGAAGTGTCTGCGCTTTTTCAACACAGCTATGTCAGGATTGGCATAGGCTATATATTTTCATAATTTTAATTATTATTATGGTTATGATTATTAATATTATTATTATTGGACATTTATTTACACTAATGCGTCTTAGTTTTAAAATGGCATTTTAGAATGAAAACGATCCACGTCCACATTGTGTTTGACCCAGCATTTCTGACCCGCTCTCCATCCACACTTTGCCGCTGAAAACACACATCATGTGACCAAACACACACATACACACACACTCTGGCATGCGCTTCAGCAGTATATGCGCACATCGGAGCTCCAGGCAGTCAGTATGGGGTGCTTTGAGCACAAAATCCCAGAGAGCAGTGCACGTTGGACAGTTTATCAAGGATGTTGTTAAGCATGATATTTTATTAATCTTGTATGTATCTAACGACTCTTCTGTCTTTTCAAATCTATCAGGTAACGTGTCACAGCATCAGTACACTGCTTCAATCTTTCACTTTCACATTTGTGCTTTGTAATTTTAGCGAACACATTAGATACTGTTGGTTGGTTGTGCACCTCTTTTTCCAACCAAGTTTGTCGAAGTCATAATAACGACACCGATCACTCTGCCTATCCCCTGAAAAAAAGTGACTGACAGCTGGTCATTTGTGTGTAACTTATATTTTTTCATTTATGATTTGATTACTTATGGGTAAAACAAAGGCCACGTGGGTTAGATAGTTGAAACGGTAGGCTACAAATAATTAATTAATAAATAATTAATAAATAAATAATTCATTCACAGCTGCCTACAATGATGAATGATCAGCATCGTCTAACCCTAGCTAACATGCTTAACCACGCCCCTCTAACTTCAATGTTGACAACAAACAAAAATGGAGGAGGAGGTGTCTGTTAGGTAGTAATAACCCTTTTCCTGATCTTTCTGAATTAAATGCCTACTTCACCACATCCAATCAGCTAGCAGTAGAAAAACCGAGCCACGCCCACTGTTTTCTCATTCAATATTCCGTTTCCATAGGTCACAATACAAAATAAATAAATAAATAAACGGTTCATGCTGACTTTAAATAGGCATTACATTGAAAATAAACCATCCAATATTCCATTGTTTCAATAAAAACCATAACAGAGAGCCAAATATAGCCTGTACCTTTGACGGAGGTGTTGGGCGGCGGGCCTTCGATGCGCAGGTTCCACGGCGGGTCTCCCTGGTTGGCGAAGTCCCTCATTTTCAGGTAGCTGATGGTGAGGCGAATGATGGAGGCCTTGTCCAGCTGGCTGGTGATGGCGGCGGGCAGAGGAAGCATCTTTGCTAGCTCGTAAAACTCAAAGTTTTCCTTGCCCCGGCGCGAGCGAGCGGCATCACGTGACTTCTCCTTCCTCAGAGCCTGCAACCTGGGTCAAACACAAGAGCGTCGCTAACATCAATGTCTGATAATAGTCAAAGCCTCACACACTTTACATTCGTATTATGATTGGTAAAACATTAATACTTATGTTTCAAATGTCGTTTTTTGCTTTTTTGAATGTCATATGTCATACTGTTGCTGTTTGCTACTGTTTCTACCATGGCTACCATAGTGCTGACATGATTTTATATTTTGCTAATCTGTTTGTAGAATAATTTATCACACTGCTATAATAAATTAGCTCACTGCTACCATGTTTCATGACATTGTTAGCATGTTTGTAACATAATTTATCATACTGCTATTATAAAATACCTAATGCTATGCTTAGTTATTGCCATTAAATAATTTCTATTAACTAATGCTATGCTTAGCTCAGTGTTAGCATGTTTTTAACACAATTTAACATATTGTTTTTATGTTTTTTGAATATTACAATTGCTATTAACTTAGCTATTGCTATTAACTAATGCTATGCTAGCTCAGTGTTAGCATGTTTTTAACACAATTTAACATATTGTTTTTATGTTTTTTGAATATTACAATTGCTATTAACTTAGCTATTGCTATTAACTAATGCTATGCTAGCTCAGTGTTAGCATGTTTATAACACAATTTAACATATTGCGTTTATGTTTTTTGGATCTTATATTTGAAGCTGTTTGGTATTGCTTATGTTGTGGCTACAGTAGTGCTAACATGATTTTATATATCATTAGCATGTTAAACATGTTTTAACACAATGTTTGTGGCATGCTTTACCACACTGCTGTTTTAAATTAGCAAATTAGCTGGTTGACCAGCCTGGTTTCAGAAGGGGTTTT